GCAGAATTTGATTTCGGATACCTGCCATATACAGTCTCAACCCTTTTGCACTGGGTCACTAATCCTCTTTGGAACTTCGCAGATAAAAATTCAAGAGTAGGCAGAGTACCCCCATAATTAGCAAACTTGACCAATTCATTGAACTTGGCCAAATAAGCATCCACAGTGATGGCACCTTGTACCAATTTTTCAAACTCCTCGTGTTTAGCTTCTCTGACATCTCGGGAAAAATATTCTTCTTGAAATAAGCCCTCAAATAAAGCCCAACTGATCTCCTCACCCTGAATAGCATAAGGGCGAGATACATTGCACCACCACTCGTGGGCATCACCCGCCAACATATAAACAGAATACATCAGCTTTTGTTGATCCTGGCATATCATCACTTGAAATATCTTGTCCATACCCATAAGCCAGGTAGTAACTATATTCAGGTCCTTTGACCCCTGAAATGATGGAAGTGTATGTTTTCTGAAGGATATGAGCCTCCGCTCATCGGCAGCACCAGCATCAAACTGCACGGCAACCCTAGAAGACTGAGCAACATATGTAGGATCAACAGTGGGCTGACTTGCCTCACCAGTATGGTGACTAGCCCGACTATCCCCCTGCTGGGGTGTAACAAATGGCGTAGGTGTAGGAGTCAACTTAGCCGTGTGAGGAGGAGAATCATCCCTCCTATGTTGAGCTCTCTCAGCCCTCATCTCAGTCATGAAGGCCTGCAGCATATCCTGATTATTATTCATCAGGTTCTCTGTCATTGTTCTATTTGCAGTCGTCTCCGCCTGCAGAGCATTCAGAACTGCAGTAACCGGATCAGGCGGTGGAGGATCTGCACCTCGTGTCCCACGGCGATCACAAATCCTCCTCATGATAACTGTACATGTAACACAAAGGAATGAGCTGATCAGATCCACAATGAGGAATCACATATACATTAATTGTAAAGCGCGAGTTCATTAGCTATGCAACACAAAATACATTCAAACATAATCAGAGTTCCCTACTAAACTGCTCTGATACCATAAAATGTAACAGCCCGTTGTACACCAGTATTGTTAACATTGATTATGATATTAAGCGCAGTTATAGTCACAGCAGTTCATTTATAAAAATGCGAGTAAACTTTTTCCTTTTCATTACGCGAGCATTTAAAACAATAATAAAGCGTAATGAGGTAAAGTTGTGATCATAACTGAAAACTAAATGCGGAATAATAATATTAATTGCCTAACTATCATATAATACTTCTCTCAAGTCACTAAGGGGTTCCCATAAATTCACTTAGCATAAATCTCACTTTTACGATTTTTACCTATCAGAATATAGTTCTGTCTTTTGGATACTGCAGAAAATTCGCGTGTCGCGAACCCCTAATCTTTTAGTATGTTATTCTAGACTTAATTATCTTTTCAAAAAGCTATCGCACGCTCCATAATTTCCTAAACTATTTAGAAACTCTAATTTTTAACATTAATCATTGTCCTTTAATTGTCCTTGATCAGATGAATCCGGAGGTTTTCGGTTGTTCAGATAAATCATAGTTTTAAGCTGTTATGCGGATTGTGGGCACTTTTCCCCAAAAACCCTAATTTCCATCAATTTTCACCAGAAATTATATTTCCTAGTCCTATGTATCATTTATAACTTATATACAAACCTAGGGCTCAAAATTCATTCGACACGCTTTATGGTGCAACTATACCGTGATATTTTTACCAGGTAAAAACATTATTCACCAAATTTCTAGAAACTTGCCTAATAACTCAATTTTTCGTTCTGAATCCATTTTCAAAGTTAGTTTTCCCATTTGAGACCTTCTACTCAATTTTTCTTTTCTAGGGTTACGTGTTTGGCAATTACCATTTTACCCTTCTTATGTATTTTGACTCTAATTTCAGGATTTTCACTAATCGTACCCCTTAATCCACATGTTCATATATAATTATACGTTTAAAAAATACGAGGTGTTATACTTGCCAACATAGCAATGTGTGTGTGGATTAGGCGAAATTTTTTTGGATACTTCCCGTGGCACCCAACTTGGTGCATCTTCTTTCTATATAAAGAAAGTTTTATTCCATTTCAATTCAAATATATTTTGCTATTTCCCATTAAATTCACCTTTTTTTTTTCTTTTTTGGAACCGATGCATGTACTACGAATGCACAAAAGAAGATCTCAGATAAAACCTATTTACTTGGCAAGTGTTCTGATCAATCCACACAAGCCCAATAAAATGGGTTGGCTATCTAAGATCCAATAAGGATTGAGTCCAATGAGTTCAAAGAGCTTATAATGGGGAATTTTTCTCTCCTTACATAGCTCATTATCCTACATGATGATGAGACAGTCCCTCACTAAAACTGTGAGGTATGAGTTAATGTTTTTTTAATTTATTTCTTTTTTTCATTATTATAGAATATTTTTTCACCTATAAAATTTTATCTTCTCTCACAAAAGAGGCAAATGGTATCATACACTTTCACATGCTGTTACTTTGTCAAGTTTTAAAGCCACGGTAGCTTTCACGCACATTCCCTCATTTGCTGCTTCCTCTGCAACTGTTACAATGCCTCTATTTGAACTTTTAATCTATATTGTTCCCTCCTTCAACACTCATATATCGAGATATTAAATCCCTTCGGGAATACAAACTAGCTCACTTTTTTTTTTTTTTTTTGTGTAAATTAGCTCACTTTTTTTAGTATAACAGTTCGTTAAATTTTCATTTGCAAAACCATATATAACTAGAAAAATAAAACATGAAATCATTCAATTTATATTTATGATAAATTATTCAATTATTTTATTTTTTTGTATAGAAGACAATCATCTCTTTGTATCATTATGCTGAGGGACAACCACATATCAGTATTTAACTTTTTATGTCGCTAAAAATTTGTCAGGTTGAAGAACTCGAATTTCAAACCGAATATAAACCCAAAGGGAAAAGCTAAAAAAAAAAAATATTATAATTTATTATTTTATCACTTATTTATGTATTTTTTTTATAATTACCTCCCTTATAATTTTTAAATGTTCACTGGTAAAATGAATATATTAACCCAATTTTTAATGATGTTAGATGTGAACTTAAACGGGGAAAAGCAATAGAAAAAATAAGTGACAAAAATAATACAAAAATTGAAAATATAAGTGATAAAAAAATTCCTACAAAATAACTTACCAAATATTAAAAAATATAGAGTATTGCAATATATATATATATATATATATATATATAGAGAGAGAGAGAGAGAGAGAGAGAGAGAGAGAGAGAGAGAGAGATAAAGTCCCTTTTTGAGTCCCTAACAAAAAAATATTATCCCCATTTTTATCCCTTACAAGAAAAAAAAACTCATATTAGTCCTTTTTAGGATTTAAATTGAATCTTCATTGAATTTCTGAGAGACCATGTTTTCAAAGAATTGGAATTGTAGAAGGATCAAAAGTTGACTTTTTTTTTTGTAAGGGATATAAGTGGGGATTATGTTTTTTATTAGGAACCCAAAATGAACTTTACTCAAAAATATATTTCTTGATTCTTTTTCTAAGTTCCCTCATCACATTGTACTGCAAGTGCTTTGATCTACATATGTTCATTCGGAGAAAAATTTGAGTGATTTCAAAATTACTGAATTCGGTGATCCCTTTTATTAAAGGAGTTTCCATCTATCATGTCACATAACACAAAAAAATTTCCTACACACACTATTTTGTGGGGCTCGCAATTTTTGAAGCAAAAAAAAAAATAAAACTAAGGCACGCAAAATGAATCCCTATAACATTACACAATTACTATTCCTACAACATAACTATTATAAAACCCTTTATTAAAAAGGAATTTTTTTTTATATCTTTTTACTTTTTTTTTGTACCTTTTTAATAAAAGGGACCACTAAAATTTTTCTCCCATATTGGAGCGGATGCTTATTGGAACATATGCTTTCCTTTATTTATATATGATTATGCTATTGTAATGTCCTTGTGTGTGATTAATCAAACTACTAGCTGAATTTGTCAAGGTTTAATTTGATGCATCATACGATATTGGGACCATATAATTACTCCATGGTATTTTTCTTCACGGTTTATCTCTCTTTCGCTAAAATCAAATAAAAGTTTCTTATTGTAATAGATTAATAACCAATGTGCTAGGGTGGTAAAATGTGTCGGCCGGTTGAGTTTGTATCGTTTTGATTCGTGAATAAAATTATGAGTTTTATGTTTATCGTGTAACATAATACAACTTTACTTTTCTACACACACATTAAAGAGGTGGGGTTCATATATTTTTTTTTTTCTTTTATCATTTCACTTTCTCTCTCCTTTTTATTGTGTATGTTAAAAATAAAACTTAAATTATGTAAGATAACATTAATAAAATTCATAAATTATTCAACCCAAACATATAACACATTTTTGTTTTACAGGGCAAAAGTTGAAACCCCGACAAGACCTACTACGGATGGCAGGTTACATGAGTTGACACATAAAAAATAAAACATTGATTTGTTTTACTTTTTTTTAAAAATATAAGAAAAAAACTAAATAAAATACAGAGGTGGACAAATGATCCAATACGTTTTATTAAAATTATCAAAATTTTAATGTTTTATTTTTATTTTTTTGAACAAATTTTTTTTTTTCAAGTTGACAAACGAATCAATATGTGACATGATAATAATTTATATCATCTATTTAAACTCATACAAAATCCGTCAGGAATCGATACAACTCACATTTTAACTTGACCTGTCGCGGATCATAATTTTTTTTATTTTATTTGAAAATCATCATAATAATCTGTTTTTTTGCCACCTCTAAATGCCGCCATAACATTGTAGCATATCACATGGAACATGATAGGCAAAGTCATCAAATATTAATGACCATTGGGGGAAGTTGGCAACAGCCACCAACCTTTAATGCCATACCTATAAGCTTCAAGAAGATTCAACCATACATCTTCATTACATTACACCTCCTTTTATCTCTCTTATATGTTTTTCTTTCTATTGCATTGCAAATGTGATCAAACTTTGTATTCTCAATTTCATGCACATTCCAGTATTATCTTTCTTACATAATTTTCATTCTTCTTTTTTATTTATATTTTTATATATATATTTTTTCCCCACCCCCCACGTTTTGAGCTTTCCATTCCACAAGGTCGGCTCTTACATTTAAAGCAATAGAAATTTTTGATGACTTGGAGGAATTGAAGTAAATCAACCCTTTAAATTGAATCAACATTACTTTGCAGTTCCCAACACGAAAGTTAAGGTTTTTTATTTTTATTTTTTTTATTTTATATTTTTTATTGGTTCTAGCTGCGTTTATTGTTGGGTAGATGAACAAACTCTAGGCGGAGAAAACAAAGTTACATTTGTTTTTGAATTTTTGTTCTTATCTATTGGCATTTGCACTGCTTAGAAACTCAAATAAAGAGACCCTTTTATATATTTATATATATTTCATGCATTGCTCTGTTTCGATTAAGTTTAGAGTGGTAGAAGCTTCATTTTTTGGTGAGAAATTTAGTAAAAGGAAGAACCCAAATATTAGTTAATTCAGATTTGGTCCAGCAAGATCCACCAATAAGATTTGATTTTCCATGTACTCTGTATCTTATGGTAGCACAAACCTCTAGTCAAAAGTGTGGAATTCAGTAGTTGGGTTAGGGAATGTAATGTGAGAGACATAAGCTTGAGGCATGTTATATAGGAGTCTCTGTTTAGTTTATATATAAAGCATAAGACATGGATTAGAAGTAACTCCTTCATCTATTGAAGTTAATAGAACTAGAAGACAAAAAAGCACCAAAATTTATTTGAGATTTCAGGCCTTGTTATGGTGGGAAGCATTATGGGAATAGTTAGTAATGCATACTCAAATGGATCTGTTCAGAACAACAATGGTTTAGAAGAGAAACTTGATGATCTTCGTGGCCTTTTTGGCAAGGTAGATGGTGACCCTTTGAGAATTGTTGGTGTTGGAGCTGGTGCTTGGGGAAGTGTTTTTGCAGCTATGCTGCAAGATACTTATGGCGTATTCCGCGACAAAGTACAAATCCGGATATGGAGAAGGCCAGGAAGGACAGTGGATAGAGACACTGCTGAGCATCTCTTTGAAGTTATCAACTCAAGGGAGGATGTGTTGAGGAGGTTGATTAGGCGTTGTGCTTATCTGAAATATGTTGAGGCAAGGCTTGGTGATAGGACTCTACTTGCTGATGAGATTCTGAAAGATGGGTTTTGTTTGAATATGATTGATACACCACTTTGTCCTTTGAAGGTTGTGACTAACTTGCAGGAAGCTGTGTGGGATGCTGATATTGTGGTTAATGGTTTGCCTTCAACTGAAACTCGTGAGATCTTTGAAGAGATTAGTAAATATTGGAAGGAGAGAATTGCAGTGCCTGTGATAATCTCTTTAGCAAAGGGTATAGAGGCTGCATTGGAGCCTGTTCCCCATATTATAACTCCCACCAAAATGATTAACCAAGCAAGTAAGAGTTTTCTTCATCTCTTTTTATGAGTTTTCTTTTCTTCATACTTTTGGCTTCTTTCTTGTACTCAAAAAGGGAAGATTTTTCTCATGCACTTGATAGAATAGAGGTAGTAAAAGAATGAGGAGATTATCTTTCTTTTTCGTTTTTTTTTTTCATCTCTATTTTTTCACACCCCCGCCTCCCCTTTTTTCCTGAAATGCATTAGTGAAACACTATTGCATATTACGGAAATGAATGATCTCATGAATACTTCAAATGGGAGAATATAACTACAATTTTATTTATGTGGCAAACCATCCCGGTTTAGTAAATAAATACATAGTTGGTGTTGCACTGACATGTTTTTTTTTTAAGTTTGGTTGATAAGGTTGTTCCTTTGTATCCAGCAGGTCATGATTTTGTGTTTAGGAAACAATCTATTTGCAAAAAATGTAAGGGTAGCGTACAATTGAGGAACCTTGTGTATGGGGGTTTTCCTTTTAGATTGATTGGAGTGGCGGGATTTAGAAGATATGAAAATCTTTCTCATCAAGATAAAAATATATTTAAGGAAAATCGTATATAGGGTCGTCTTTATGTGTGAGACAGTGAGAGGGAAGGGATTCGTTGATATCTCACTGTAAAGAACTTTGGGATACACCATCTTAAAAGCTAGCTCAAGGGGTGGGAGTGCCCAAGGCCTTATAAAGGCCATATTAGTTGCCCATCCAATCAATGTGAGACTATATATCTCAACACGCCCCTTCACGCAAGAGCCCTTTAAGCTAGAAGCGTGGAAATTGCACAGGGCCATTTTTGGTTTACTTTTTTGTGCTTTTTTATTTTATTTTAATTCCACTTTTTTAATAGCGGGAGACGGTGAGACTCTGATACCATGTAAAGAACATTGGGATACTCACTTTTAACATTTCTCATTTAGTCACATCATCCACTTGCAATTTGGTGTATGGCATACTTCAGGATTAACTTTTCATATTTTGGCCAATAAAGCTAGAGACGAAGTTCTAGCCGAAGAATCTTCCGCAGCATTATTGTGAGTTTTATTTGTGGAGAATGGAGATAATCTTCCCTGTTTATTTGAATGAATGTGAAATTGACCTATTAAGAGTTGATCTTGACTTAACCTTCATTTCCACTCCTAGCATGTTCATTTCACTGAAATCTATATTTGTCATATTCGTATTTAGGTATATTACAGTTCAACTATGATAATTTAGAGGCAAGGTTACTGCTATGTATTATCTATAATTTATTTGATACCAGCCAATGGAAGCTAGTAATTTAGTATACAACAATTAATAGTGCTTATTTCTCTATTTTCTTTTTCTTTTTCATCAATTTTTTTTTATTTTTTATTTGGATTCATGAACAACCAACCCAACTATTTTGAGATAAAGGTGATATTGAAGCTATCTAAAAGAAGTTTGAGCTTCTTTATTTGTAATCTATTTTGTCTTTCCTTAATTCTCAACTCTTTACAATGTATAATTTGACAGCTGGAGTTCCTATTGAGAACATACTTTATCTTGGTGGTCCAAATATTGCCTCAGAAATCTACAACAAGGAGTATGCCAATGCTAGAATATGTGGCGCTGAGAAATGGAGGAAACCTATAGCAAAGTTTCTAAGACAACCACATTTTATTGTCTGGGACAATAGTGACCTTGTCACCCATGAGGTCATGGGTGGCTTGAAAAATGTCTATGCAATTGGCGCAGGTAAGCTTCAAACTAGTTATCATAGTTTTATAGCTGATGTGAAACTTATAGTAATCTGTATTGCCCATGTCTTTCCTATGTTGTAATGCTGTGACTTTTTCTGATAACCCTTGTAATGTGCCATTCTTTTGTTTTTTTCACCCCCATATTTTAGTTTTGAATGCTATACAAGCATTGCAATGTGCTTAAAAAATAACTTTGATGAATGACCATAGGAGAAATGAAACAGACCATTTTTTACACTCAAAGGTGGGGGAAAAAGAAAGAACTACAGAAAGAAGAAAGTAATCTGGTTGAAGCAATTCAGATAAGCGTCTAAAGGCTTTAGAATTGGTCCATCTACTTTAATATGATACACTTTTTATGAATTCATATAACATAACAGTTATTTATATTTTAGTTTCATCAAAACTGAATTTCTTATGTTTTCAAACTGTGGTTGATTCTATCAGAACCAAGTAGCTAGATCAGTACATCCATAAACTAGCATTTATTATGTCTTGCAATAAACTTTGGATATGGAGTGTTTTAGTTTAATATTATTGCTTGCTCTCTTCCTTTTGTTTAGAGTTGGGGGTGGCACTTAAATGGGAAACTTTGACTGCAATAATAGGAGCTTGCCTTCTTTTTCCATTTACATAGCTTACATTTGGTTTCTCATTTACAATATATATATATCTTGTTTTTTCTCATTGTTATCAGGAATGGTAGCAGCCCTTACCAATGAGAGTGCTACAAGCAAATCTGTATACTTTGCACATTGTACATCAGAGATGATATTTATCACTCACTTGTTGGCTGAAGAACCTGAGAAACTTGCGGGGCCGTTATTGGCTGACACTTATGTGACTTTATTAAAAGGTCGTAATGCATGGTATGGCCAGATGCTAGCTAAGGGTGAATTAAGCCCTGACATGGGAGACAGCATCAGTGGCAAAGGAATGATTCAGGTATAGTTTGCAATTTTCCACTTCTTAGTTATTCCAAACACGTTACATTCCTCAGGTGTGCCAGTTGCATCTTTGGAATGTGCAAATTGTGGAGTCAATATCATTCACGTGAGAAAGGAGGGTGTTAAGATGTGTTTTAACCTAACAATTTAAACTTCCGGGAGTGGCGAGGCCTGTGCATTGTCCAGGGCTCCAATCCTTTAAGGCTTTTGGCGTGAGGAGATATGATAAGGATTAAAAAAAAATCACTTCCCATTTCCCCCCAACTAAGGAGGATAGATGTGAGGGTAATTTTTACATGCAGTCTTACCCTTACATGTTTGTAAAGAAGTTATTTTTCAGATTCAAACTCGTTGACCATTTAGTAAAACAAAATTAATTTTACCTTTGCTCGAGACTCGTCCTCTTGGATGTGTTAAGGATGAAAATAAAATTATTAACATGCCTTCACGTAGAAGTTTAAACTTACTGCAGAGTTGGTTTATGACACACTCTACTATTTGTGTTTCTAGGGTGTCTCTGCAGTGAAGGCATTCTTTGAACTTTTGAGCCAATCAAGCCTGAGTGTATTGCACCCTGAAGAAAACAAGCCAGTTGCTCCTGTTGAGCTCTGCCCAATCTTGAAGACACTATATAAAATATTGATATCCAGGTAATTTCCTGCAACCATTAATTAGCTGGAATATTAGATGCCTCTTGACATGACCCTTTCAGCTTATGATCTTTGAACACTTAAAAAAAAAAAAAAGTATTTGGAAATATCTATATGCAATCTTGCCTATGCTCTAAGTTTCTTTACCATACTTGTGGCGCATGTTGCATTTCTCAGGGAACAGTTATCACAAGCTATTCTCCAAGCTCTTAGGGATGAAAATCTGAATGATCCCCGTGAACGAATTGAGATTGCACAAAGCCATGCTTTCTACAGGCCTTCACTTCTTGGGCAACCCTGATTATTTATCCTGGAAAAACACACGTGTATGCCTCAATGTATATTGAGCATTTGTTAAGCATGTTTTCTTTGGGTACAATTTCTTGCAATTTTTATTTTTTTTTATGGGCAAAGATGTAAGAGTTTATGATGGATTTCATACACACTGTATATATTAGACAAAATTATAACCCATGTTGGCAATTAGACACAAAATAGCTCAAAACATTGTACTAGCAATAAGGGTATGATCCAATTCAAAACACTGCTATTGTTAAGTCAAAACACTGCTATGGTTAAGTAGCAAATTTAGCTGGGTTGCCACGGCCACAACATTGTGGTCAAAGTGACAATACTTGAGTTGTTTATCTTGCAAAATCTTTATGTTTTTATCCTTTGGTGAAGCAACATTGACCAAACTAATATGAAATTGTTACTGGGCCCTTGAATGAATTGGGCTTCCAGAGAATGAATTAGGTCTTTGTGACCTTGATTGCTACTACTAATCTCTGGATGCCATAGTGGGTCTTTCGCAAGTCGCAACAGCACTAGTGAGAATTAGGGCATGTTTAAATTCAGTTAAGGTCTATTTTGTAAAAATAATTTTAAATTATAATTGTTTTTTATTTTTAGAATAAAATTTAGAGAATATGTTTAAGTTGTTGTTTTTTTATATTTTGACTATTAATTTTCAAAAAAAAAAGTATAGAAAATTCTATTTTATTAACTATTTTACAAAATAGTTTTAAAGAAGAAAAAAAATCATCACATAATCAAAGTACGTGAAGGAAGATTTTTTTTTTTTTTTTTAGTTTATTCAAATGCTCACGCAATTACTAATTGGGAGTGATAGGTAAATAAAATGTCATAAAAAAATGATGATTTAAATTTTAAATATAATATAGATCAACTAATTCAATAAGTATTTTCAATAAAATCAAGAGTAATTCAAAATTTTATAGAATTTAAGGGTGGTTAATAGATTAAATAAATATCATGGACTGCTTACTTATCTAAAAGTGCATATCACATTATTTTGGTAATAAAAATACAATGCCAAATGCGAAGAATTGTTTTTGTTTTTATTTTTACTAGCAATATCTAAAGTGTACGTGTTTATTATTAAATGAGAATTTAATAGATATATATATATATATATATATATATATATATATATATATTTTCTTAATTCTAATTAGTTAAGATCGCCGTACACCTTAAATTTTATCAAGTATATATAGATACATCTTTTGTACACTTTAAAGACTGTCATTTTCAGAGAAGAGAACTGAAGCTATAACTCAAATAATAATAAATTATAACATCCTTTCTTTTTCATATATAATAACATTTAAAAAAAACATATATAATAAGGTCATATATACTAGCAGTATATGGTCATCGCTCAGTTTGTCTCATGGCTTCTTTACTCTATAGACTATAATCTCCATCAATATATATTAGCAGAATGGTCACTCTCTCTCCTTGTGATCATCACCCTTCACTTGATGTCCCAATTCATGTGTCTCTCTTGCTTTTCCATGTCCAACTACATCGCCAATGGCTTTCCTGTTGGGAACTCGGTTTCCTCAAGCTCGGCTCAGGGGCCTTTTGTGCAGAAGTCAATCAACAAGATCCTGATCTCGGATCTCGATCTCGGCAATACCTCAGCCTGAACTTCACCAGGTCAGGCAGCGCAGCGAAAAAATCAAAACGAAAAACAAGAGAGAGAAGAAGAACACAACCAGATTTTAACGTGGGAAAACCTTCTTGAATGAAGAAGTAAAAACCCACGTGACCTAGTCCAGATCAAAAAAATCCACTATGAAAATAATGGTTACAACGAATCAAATACACCAATGTGGTGGTTAACTCAACCTCTCCAACAATGGTGATAATCAAACTACCCTAGAGATGTTTCACTCAAACTCTCTCTAGAGATCTCTCAAATGCAAAGCATAAAGCTTTACTCAAACAATCAAACAATTTTTCTCTCAAATTTGTTCTCTCAAATCTGACCTCTCAAATCTAACCTAGCCTCCACCCTCAACTAATGAGTATATATAGAGAAGGTGGGAATTAGGGTTAGGGTTTTTAGGAAACCCCTCAAATGGGCTTGGGCTTAGCATTGAAGGAGGAAGCCCAACAAATCTCCCCCTCCGACTTCAATGCGTCGGCTTCAGCATCAACCTGGCTCCTTCACAGCAGTCTTCAAATTTTCTTGCTAGAACCGGCTTTGTCATCATGTCGGACCAATTTTGGTCAGTGTGCACCTTGACGAGTTCGAGCTCTCCACCTTCCACCACATCCCGGATCCAGTGATACCTCACATCAATATGTTTTGTGCGGGAGTGATAGGTAGAATTCTTTGCAAGATGGATTGCGCTTTAATTGTCACAACCCAGCTCGTACTTGTCTTGATCATGGCCGAGTTCCATGAGGAACTTCTTCATCCACAACATCTCTTTGCTTGCCTCAGTAGCGGCAATGTACTCAGCCTCAGTTGTAGATAGTGCAACACATTTCTGAAGTCTTGATTGCCAAGAGACAGCTCCTCCGGCAAATCTCATCAAATATCCTGTAGTCGACTTCCTTGAGTCGGCGTCTCCCCCTAAATCAGAATCCGAGTAGCCTTGCAACTCGACTTTGCCTTCTCCAAATCGGAGACATAAGTCGGTCGTACCTCGGAGGTACTTGAAGATCCACTTCACTGCTTCCCAGTGCTCTTTGCCGGGGTTTGACAAATACCGGCTTACCATTCCAACAGCATACGCCAAGTCGGGTCTAGTGCAAACAATTGCATACATCAAGCTTCCGACGGCGGATTGGTAAGGGACCTTCATCATCTCATCTTTGTCTTCATCAGATCTCGGACATTGCTTTTGGTTCAGCTTTATGTGTCCGGCTAGGGGGGTGCTCACTGTTTTGGCTTTGTCCATGCTGAATCTCTTCAAAATCTTCTCAATATATTTCTCTTGACTCAGCCACAGTAGCTTCTTCTGTCTATCTCGGATAATCTTTATTCCGAGAATCTGCTTTGCAGGGCCGAGGTCCTTCATTGCGAAGGACGAGCTCAACGCCTTTTTCAGGGCGGCTATCCTCGATTTGTCTTTCCCTACAATAAGCATGTCGTCAACATATAACAACAATATCAGAAAATCTCCAGCCTCATACCTCTTCACAAATACGCAGTGGTCGGCTTCAGTCTTCTCAAACTTATGATCAATCATGAATGATTCAAATTTCTTGTACCACTGCCGAGGTGCTTGCTTCAAGCCATAGAGGCTCTTCTTCAATCGACATACCAAGTCTTCTTGGTCTGGAGCTTGGAATCCTTCAGGTTGCTCCATATATATCTCTTCTTCTAAGTCACCGTGAAGAAATGCCGTCTTCACGTCCATTTGTTTTACCTCGAGGTCCATCGAAGCCGCCATGGCTAACACGGTTCGGACCGAGGTCATTTTCACCACAGGAGAAAAAATCTCCTCAAAATCAACTGCTTTCTTCTGATTGCAGCCTTTCACTACAATTCGGGCTTTGTATCTCGGCTTTTGCCCGTTCTCTTCATTCTTAATCTTGTAGACCCATTTATTCTTCAGAGCTCATCTTCCTTTTGGCAACTCAGTCAGCTCATAAGTTTGATTCTCGTGCAAAGACTTCATCTCGTCTTGCATTGCCTTTTTCCATTTTTATTTCTCTGAGCTCGTCACAGCCTCATCATAACTCTGAGGCTCACCGTCTTCAGCAACAACGGTGTATTCATCAGATGGGTATCTTGCAGAGGGTCTTTTTTCTCGAGTTGGATATCTCGGCTGTTCTTCAGCTTGAGAACCCGGTTCATTATTCTTATCCCGGATCTCATCATTAACTCGGACCTCAATGTCTTGGTCATCTTGAGCTTGTTGCTGATCATCATTTTCTTGATTTTCTCCCCCTGCTTCAGCTCGAACAGGAGGGATGGGTTCTTCACGTCTGACAGTAACCCGGACTCTGGGCTTCGAGATGTCATGAATGTTCTCATGCTCATGAAAGATCACATCTCGGCTTCTCACGATCTTCTTATTGATTGGATCCCAAAGTCGGAACACGAACTCACATCTCGGCGAACCAAGATAAATGCATTCTTTGGTCTTTGCATCAAGTTTGGCCCTTTCATCTTTAGGGATATGCACGAAAGCTCGGCATCCAAACATTTTCAGTTGATTATAGGCCGCTTTCTGACCTGTCCAGACTTCTCCTGGAATTTCTCCTTCAAGTGGCCGTGATGGTGAGAGATTGATCAAGTCAACAGCAGTTTTGACGGCTTCTCCCCAGAATGATTTCGGCAATCCGACATTGGATAACATGCTTTGGACCTTCTCTTCAAAAGTTCTGTTCATCCGCTCAGCCAGTCCATTTAGCTGAGGTGTCTTGGGGGGCGTCTTCTCAAGTCGAATCCCGGCCGTTCTGCAGTATGCATCAAATGGGCCGCAATACTCACCACCATTATCAGATCGAACCATCTTCAATTTCTTGCCAGTCTCCCTTTCAACCATAAAATGGAATTCTTTAAAGGATTGGAGTACCTGGTCTTTAGATTTCAACAAATATACCCACACTTTGCGGGAATGGTCATCAATAAACGAAACAAAGTATTGAGCTCCTCCAAGAGATTTATCTGACATGGAGCAAACATCAGTATGGACGAGGTCAAGAATATTCCTTCATCTTCTTGGTTGATCTGGTCTCACAAAAGAAACCCGGTGCTGTTTTTTAGCTAGGCAGTGCGTGCAACTCTCCAACGCTTGGCCTTTCAACCCGGTCAATAATCCTTTCTTGTTCAGGATCTGTAGCCCTTTCTCGCTCATGTGGCCGAGGCGCTTGTGCCATAGCTCCAAGCTAGGTTCATTTCGAACAGAATTGGCTTCTCCGCCATTGATCTTTCCTTGCATCACGTACAAGGAGCCTTCTTTCTTACCTCGGGCCACGACCAAGTTTCCCTTGGCCAGCTTCCATCTAACACTACCGAAGTAGTTCACTAACCCGGCATCATCAAGTTTGCCTACCGAGATTAGGTTCAAACGCATGTCAGGTACATGCCTCACATCCTTCAACACAAGTCGGCATCCGACATCTGTGGTCAGAGTTACATCGCCGAGACCAACAATCTTGCTGGTCACCTGATTTTCCATCTTCACGACTCCAAAATCACCACCTCGATAAGAGGAGAAAAAACCTTTGTGTGGAGTAACGTGGAAGGAGGCACCAGAGTCAACAATCCAGGTGAAGTCATCATAAGCAACATTCAAATAATTATCCTCACCAAGGAGGAATATCTCAGCA